AAACTACACTTTATTATGTAGCGCTTAATTTAAGTCATCATTCAGGTTATCATCCTACAACCCTTAAGGATTCATACTCTTGACAAGAAATCAGTGCAAAAATACAGAGCTAAAGTGAACAGCCTCTGAAGTACAACCACTCAGAACCCCAATGTTGTCATGCAAATCTGCAGACAGCATGAGATGTCTGAAAATAAGGAAGACAACAAAACCAAGGTTAACAGCTCCACACTCATCTCATTTCACACTAGCTGAAAAATCAAAAGCAGCAGTCTGAAGCCTCTCAAAAAGCCTCCATTTATCACTGCCAAGTGTTTTTGCCAGCTGAATTTCACTGAATTTTTACTGGATTTCCACTGAAAAGGACAATGTCATCTCTGTTTCAAAGCTGGAACACTTCTTTTCCCCTTGGCATGCATCAGTTCCTTGTTTCCATCACTCCTGGCACTCAGGACCAGGATTTTCACTCCAGTGGGCTCCCAGTTTCTCAGTCACCAGCTTAATGAAGTAGCTGTGATTGGCATACAGCTTCAGCTCCTCACTGATGTCGACCCACTTCACCACTCCAGCATCATCACCTGCTTCCAGAGGCAAATTATCCATCGTCTCACCTGTTCACAAAACAAGAGTTAGGACACACCATTCATCTTCTTTCCTGCTTCTCTCATCTGGTCAGTTTTGCCCTTCCACATGGCTCCTTCACAGGCAGCACCCTTCAACTGCTCCTCAGAGTTGTAGTTGCTCACTGATTCTGTGCCAGAAACCAATTAAGTTGCTGACTGATTCTGTGCCAGAAACCTTTTTCATCCTTGCACTAGTTTAAGGCAAATCTGAGTGGCAGCAGTGCCAGAAACCTTTTTCATCCTTGCACTATTTTAAGGCAAACCTGAGTGGCAGCGCTGTAATTCCTTCGTACCCAGGAGTGGCAACATCAGCAGCATGACAAATTACTAGAAATAATTATGACAACATGTACTCACTGTGACAAGTTTAACCACTTCCTCTACCTTGATTTTTGTTTGGCTAACATTTGACTGCTTCCTATTCTACAGGACAAACTGAGTTCTGAAACGTATATATGCTTACATAAAACCAGAAAAATTGACATTTTACTAATACATCCCTATGGAAACCCAGAATAATTGAAATTTTACTGAAGGCCCCAAATTAAAAAATAGTACTTAAGGAGGGATGAAGAAAGGCTTCTGAATTCCTCTCTGAAGCTTCTTACTCTGTTTCCAAAGAGTCCCAGGACTTCATAGACAACAACCAAAGAAATGCTTTCAAAAGTATTACAAAATCTGTGTTAGAAAAAAAGACCAAAGGAACAGTATCTTCACGGTTTCTGAGGCCTTATAAATCAAGACACTGTGAGATGTGAAACTTCACCACTGGTATCTCTTAATTACCCAAAACACAGTGGAAATGTCACTATATGAAGTCTCCAACTTGAACAAGTCAGACACACCTGACTAGACTGATCTCTTATCTTGGATTCTCATCTCTCACCTTTTGAGATAAATCAATCTAAGAACTAGCAATGTACGTCCATTCCTACTGATCTGGAGAAGTAAAATGAGGTCCAACCATTACTCTGGCAGAGTAACCAAGATAAAAGGTCTCTGAGAGCAATCAAGCCACCAAAGCAATAAATGCAGTGAAAATCTGCCAGCAGCCAGAGGCAATGATCCTGAAGCACACACTTCCTATGGAAGGAAAAATAATAAAAGAAACAGACCATCCTTCTATCCCAGACTCATTAAAAACAGAAACTAAACTAACTCAAGATAAATACAGCCACAAGAAGGAACCCTTGTCTAATGTTCACTCTCCATACAAAGGCACATGGGCCACAGCTTAGAGCTACCTAACAGATGACCCATCTCTGGAAATATTCAAAGTCAGGCTGCGCAGGGGTCTGACCAACCTGATCTAGTTGAAGATGTCCCTTCTCATGGCAGAGGTGTTGGACTAGATGACCTTTAAAGGTCCCTTACAATCCAAACTCATCTAAAGCCTCTAGCCTATGAATAAATACTTTCAGGCAAAGGCCATATGTTCCTTATTTCAAGACTGACAGAAACCAAAGGGGAAAAACAACTATCTGTCATGGCTGAACATCTTGGAAAACAAGAGACCCTCACACCCATTAGTCTTAGTCTAATATTTTATGCCTGATTTGCACGTTCCTCTAATTCCACTGCCAATCTCAGCCCAACATACATCCCAATTTCAAGCCAATATATAGAGTAAAAGGCAACTAAGAGCACACATGGAGATACCCACCGGTTTCATCATGATAGTTCACAGCCTCCGTCTCTATCCAGGCGTTATCGGTGTTACGAGGGTCATCCACATAGCCCCTGTACACCTAAGGCCCCAAACAAATGGAAACAAGCTCCGTATCACAACAGGAAACCATCAAGATAGAATCAATATGAAGATCTCTTCCCCACCAATACATTTGCCCCTACAGAGCTTTCAATAGTCCCTTCCATTTCCTACATCATGACAACTGGAGCACAACAGCTTCTCTTCATTCCAGCTGCCCTCTGCCCACTGCCACACAGCTGCGAGTCACGCGCAGAGCTCCAGAGGCTGTCACCAGAGACACAGAGCTCACCACAAAGTGTTCCTGGCTGAACAGCTGCTGGAGCTGCTTCTCCAGTTCTGCTTTCTCCTCAGGAGACTTCTGCAAGGAGTTCAAGGCCTCCTCCCCAAATTCTCGCTTCAGGGTAGCGCTGATCTTCTCCCCGGGGTCCACCATCCCCTTAGAGGGGGAAAAAAAAAATATGACTATCCCTCTGAATCCACTTGTTATTACCCCCCTTTGACCAGCCATTAGAATATGACATCCACCTGCAGAATACTCCAGACACAGGAGGAACCCTACACTTAGTTGTAAACAGCAAGCACACACATCCTGCAAAACCTGCAACAGATCAGCCTGTGCCTCCAGTGAGCAACAGGCTGGGTCAGGATTAAACATAAACACCGCCTTGCAATGCAGAAACAGCACAAAGAGTAACAGCTGACACCTGGGGAAAGGCAGCTTACAGAGCACTTCTCCTCACCTCCACAACACGAGGTTGTTAATCAAAAAGCACACTTTTAGCACGTGCACGCCATGCAGCGCCTCACGGCCTTACCAGCAGGGAAATGCCAACTGTCTCCGGAGCATTGCTCTTACCCCTGGAATGGCCCACTCCCCACAGTCTCTCCTCTTGATCGCTACAAACTGTAAGATGTTTTTGCCAGTAACTGGATGAGCAATTTTATTGCCACTTTCGTCCCTCTTCCACCTGCAGAAAACAACAAACAAGAACATTTATTGCTGCTTCTGGACACAAGGGCCTGGGAGAGGATCAGCAAGGTGTGCACTGTTGCCTGGGCAGGGGCAATGCAGAGAAAGAACCATCAAGGGGGGGACAGAGGGATGCTGTCCGGCAAGATCACAACCACAGGTAAAACACTGGAGCTTTTATCAACACCTCCACTGACTGCGTTCTATGCCTTCTACTAGAACAGAACGTACGTGCAGGCTGCACCACCTCCAAACCGCTCACCCTTCAGTAAAGAACTGAGAACTACCAATAGTTAAAGCAAAAAGCTAACCAAAGAGCACAAACTGCAAAAAAAAAAAAAAAGGAGCCTGACCCCAAGTGCTCCTATGATCTAGTAAGCCAAGTTAGTAATTCCTACAGAGTGAAAGCAGGCACACTGCTTTTTTTTCAGTTCTGTCCTTATGACACAAAACCCTATTCCTGCAATTTAACATGCTTCATCTAAGGCCTTTTGGCATATTATACACAGAGTATCAAAATATCATGTAATCCTTTCAGTTTTCACATTCATTTCTGAAGATTGTTTGTAGACTGTATTTTTATTGAGTTACACTTCCTGGGTTGTTGTGTTGGTTTTTTTTTTTTTTTAGATCTGTTTCCTCAGCATTTTTAAAGGGATTGTTTGTAAAACAGTAAGTCCTTACTCTTTTCCAGAGACAAAGAATAATAAAGATGCAATTTAAGTTCCACATATCTATATACCTCTCTCTATATACCTCCTCATAGGGGAAGAGACATAAAAGGCCCAGGAAAAGTAACAGCCTGGCCAGAGGTGCACAGAAAAAAGCAAAATGCACATTTTTCTGTTCTACTGCACAGTGCCTTCCAGTCATCTGTCCCTTACCTGGTTACAACAGGATCAGCAGCATGGTTTGGTCCCCAGCGCCCCAACAATCCTCTGCCTGTGAGGCCAGTCCTTCCCGCCGGATTTCTGAAATCAGTGGCACAGTACATTAAACATATTCACTTCCCCATATTCCAAATACGCTCAAGTGTTCTAACAAAGCAGCTTTAAAGAAGCTTAAATAACAACAAAGGGAAGGACAGCAACATACATCCAGTGGCATCGTATGCTTTAATGAGCAAGAGAAACAGCATGGTTTTCTCTGTCATCACCCTCTTTTTGTGTTTGGTAAAACAGGGAAAGGAAATGCACAAAATGGCTGTGGCACATCCCAGATCTTTTGTCCTGGGAAACTCCTCAGCAAGCACTACTCTCATTGTGCACTCAGCCTTGTCTAAAAATGGAATCTAGTTTCCAGGACTATAGATGTACTAAGCATCCAATTATGTACAAATAGCAGAAAAAAAAATTTTTTTAGGTGGGATTACCCATTTGTGCTATGCCAGGATTTCCCAGTGGGAGGAAATTCTCTTCTGCTCTGCCAGAGCACGCAAGTGGTGTGAAAGCTTCAGATCCCAACACCTGGTCAAACTGTGGAACAATTCATCCAACAGACTCCACTACTAACAGTGCCAGGCCTCCTCTGTCTCCAGTGTCACCACAACCCTCTGTTGTGGTAGAATTGGCTAAGTTTTCACTGCCTCTGCCATAACCTTCCTACAGAAAGGACCCTCTGGTACTGAGGTATCATTTTTCCTGTCTCTAGGGGAGACTATCTTAATTTTGTTCTAGCAAGTACCATGGATCAAAACTAACAGTAAAAATTCTGAAACTACATCACTGAAATTAACACCCAAACATGAAAACCCCCCACACTCACCTGGGCCTCCCGTTTTCAACCACGTACAAGCTGTTCAGACTCTTCCTCTCCACTTCTCCATCCCTCTCATTGAATTTGGGAGAAAAACTTTTATCACTGTATGGAAAAGAATCATTGAACAGGCATAAGTTATTGAACACAACACACGCCTCTGCCCCACAAAAAGCCTGAAGGCCAGCCACCAGATCTGCAACACCCATTTGACCATTGAGCAGTTTTTACCAGAACTTCAATTGCAGGCCCTCCCTTTTCTACAGGAGGCCATAAAATCTCAACCTTTTGACAGCCTCCCTGTATTTAATTCTGCAGGTGTACGTGTGCCCCTCTAAGGTATTTCACATTGCCTCTCTCTAGATTTTCATTTAGATAAAGTGTTTCAAAAGTGTTCTTGGCAAGGCTAGAGAAAATAGAAGGACTTTATCCATTGATAAAACTAAAAAAGATTTTGCTAATTAAAAAAATTAAGCAGAATTTTTTATTAGGTATGATTTATCAGAGTTACAAGATAATAATCAACCACCAATTTTCAAAAACAGCTTGATGCCAATCTCCTAGATGCATGCATCGAACTGTCTATCCAAGAAGCAGACAGCATTCCTTGAGGGGAGAATGTTTTGCAGAATCATGCAAATGAATACACACATTCACCAAAAAGGATTAGTCATGCATTCAACCTGTCCCATTCCCTGAGTCAGAGCGCCCAGCTCAAGAGCTGCAATTCTTCTTTAATTCCTTTCTCATCTTGCATTCAACCCATGAACAAACAACGAACTTGATGACAATTTTCTCACAAATTCTTACAGAGAATTAGATTTTTACTTAGCTCACAACACAAAGAAGGACTACACAGGATCAAAAGCAGTCCATGATTCTAATAACACTGATCTTATCTCAATCACCAGCTCAGTAAAATCATCTGTCAAAGACCTTCACACCTAACCAAAGCCATTCAGTTCTCTAACCACCATTTTTCTACATCTGGACTTTCACACACCACTGCAGAATCAGATGGCACTTAAGCTGATGATCTTATTAACTCAGCTGATCACTATTGCCTTCTTCCATGTTTACAGGAGAAAAAGAGCCACAATTTCCACTCACTTGATTTGGGGATCTGCCCAAACAGGTCCAGCCAAAACAGACCTTGCAGTGTACTCCACAGGATTATAATCTTTCCACTCAACCAACCAGCCCACTTTATCTGCAGGAACTTGGCTACGTTCAATGTGTGATCCGGGATACGGGGAGGTGAGAGCTTTGCTGTGGCAGAACTTCTTAACATTACAACTGTTGAGCATGTTAACAGGATGAAGATGAGACAAGCTACTGAAAGAAAAATAAAAACAAAAAGAAACACCACCTCATTCATTAGTCTTTAACCCTGTTATTTAACGCCAGATCTACCTAGTATGTTAGAGCAAGCAGAACAGACCAGGCTTTTTGAACGACACAGCTTTCAGTAATATCTTTTTGCTTCTTTCAGACATCGTGCAAATGTACGCCTGGGATGAACAAATTCTGAATTTCACCTTCAGGTTCTTGAAGCAGAAGAGTACTCTACTAGACACGCACAAAGATTTCACAGCATGAGTGAGAAGCTGAGAACTAGAACTCATTCCAGACTGACACTGACCAGTTATCAAACAGAACCATTTAGAGCGGAAAAGACCTTTAAGATCATCCAGTCCAACCATAAAAATTCGATGATCGTATACAAGGAACAGGTCAAAGATATTTACCAGAAACGCAGCAGGAAGGCCCGCTTGAGCATTAAATCTCTGTGTGGGCATTTCACCAACAAACCAACCCAGCCCTACAGGAATCCTGCTCTCACATCCAGCAGTGGACCAGGTAAGAACAAGAATGCAATAGCCCAAAGCCTGCGCGACAGAGCTCTGCAAGTTGCTGCGACCACCAAAATATCATTTTGTGCAATAACAAATAGCGTAACGCATGCCTTGTTTTTCAATTTCCAGGAAGGCTAGAACTACCAAACTAGGGAAGTCAAAATAAAAAATACTTGAGACCTTTAGTGATTTTTAATTTGCCATGGGTTTTTGGAAGCTGAAATACGAATCAACAATAAAATACTTGAAAATAAATTGGGTTACAGCACCTGACATCCAGCTCTAGAAAACTCTAGGTGGATTTTCTTCAACACCCCAAGTGGCCTTCCTGTACTCAAAATAACATCTTTTTAACTATTTGTTTTTAACTATTACAAAAATAAAGATGATTACTCCAGATAAGAGGCTCAAAGTTCAACAAGGGGCTCTTACCTGTAAGAGCACTTTAAAAACAAGATATTTAAAAGTTCTTAGTGAAAAGCTTTTTAAAAAATAAAAAATCAATAAAGAATCACTTCCAGCACATAAGGAAATAGATCTCCTCTGCAAAAATGTTAAAATTAACATGAACAACTGGAACATGCAAGGAGGGCGATGATGGGACCAATGAGTTTCAGATAAAAAAGAAAAAAGCAACTCATACATGAAGTGTTAACCCTGCTACCTGAACCCAGATGTGAATATGAGACGGTAACTAGCAGAACAGAGGCTTTTTCAAAAACAGCAGTTCCAGTTCTAACTCCTCGCTCATGCTATGAAACCTGCAGTTGCAGGTCGGAGAGCAGGTTCTGCTTCACGAAGCCGGAGTTGAGGCTCCACTGGTCACATTCCCTGCTGAGGCGATGTTCCCAAGAGCACAACTCGACCCACGAACCACCTGAGGCACACAAAATCTTTAACAGAGACGGGGAAAAAGACACACTTGCGATGGTGCCACCTCCCCGCGCAGGTCACCGGTATGTCACTTGAGTATTTATCGATACAGTCCAGGTTCAGCCGCCAGCCTGATTTTTTGT